AAAGGACATGGTTGGAAGCTAAACTCGAGCACGACAGAAACTCGGAGGCAAGGAACAAAAAGGAATAGAGAATGGTTTTGAGAGAGAGGGAAAGAACGGAATGTTAAAATAAAAACGTAGAAAATAGTGGGTGAGTTCGTGTAACTGGGCACTTCTTTAATGCCGAACTTTAATAAAAGACAAAAGACTAAAACTGCCATTTTTCATGCTTTTGTTCGGCATTCAAGTTAATAAAAGAAGTTTAAACACCTACAATAAATAGAACGTAAAAAATTAATTAATGGCTTTTGGTTCCAAGCTTAATAAATAACCAGCGGGAATAAATATCGATTAACAAAACAATTTTGACAAATTCAACAATTTAAAGCTTTTGATTTTTTTTAATACAAATCGAAAAATATGGATTTCCCGAACCCACATTAAAGTATATGAGGTTTGCGTCCCCGTAGGACATGAGACACGTACCAATAGCCTATAGACCGGCCATCACGTTATTTTTGGTCATATCTCGATTATTGGATTGACGTCCATTCTACCGTATGCCATCAACAAACCTGACTCGTTGCGGTTCAAACCTCACTACTATCACATTTTATTGCAAACAATGCAAAAATAATAGTGTTCATAAAAAAAACTACATCCATTTGAAATTTTAAAAAACATTTTTGTTGGTAAACTAATAGCACCTATTTTCGGTTGGGAAATTTAATCCGGTAATAGGTGCATTACATCAATGTGAATTTTCCACGTCGAAGTTTTTTTTTAAGTATATACAACAACCATTGCGCCAGAAGTTTGGACATTGTCAATTAAATTTAACATGTTCAGGGTGGCATCCACCTGCAACCCCACTAACGGATAGCGTCGATAAAAAGCGGGTCGGACAAATGGAAAAAATATGCACAAAGAGTAATAAAATTTGCAAGTATTATTACTAAAAACTGAAATGCATTGGTGGCTTATCAGCACAAAATGCAAATGTTTATAACATTTCTGTACTCGCTCCCGGAAATACGTTTTCCTCTGTCGTATGTTTCGTTTATTTTCAAATGAATTAAAAGTTTTTAACATAAAAATTGTCATTGAATACATAAAATTGTGTTTCAGTGTGATTTTTTTAAACGTTTATACATTTCACATCAATGATGTTAAACGAAATAAACATACAGTGAATTTCATTTAAGATGTGATATACAAAAATATATTTCCATAGAAGCCAGGGCGTACCTGCTTACTTTATAAGTAGTTAAAGTAGTCTGAAAAGAAGCCCGGTTAAAGATACACGGTTAAACCCGAATGTTTCTAGTTCTAAGTCTAATGTTAGTCTAAAGACACACGGCTAAACCCGATACTTTCTAGTTCTAGGTCTAATGTTAGTTCTAGTTTTAGTTCAACAAAAATAATCAACTAGAACTAACACTAGACCTAGAACTAGAAACATTCGCATCTCTCAAGACGGCTTCAAAATTTATATCTGATTAGCCGTCTTGAGAGACGTGCAGCTAAATCCGAATGTTCTTCTTCCAAGTTTAGAACGTTATGTATTAGAGTACATAAGAAGTAAGGTATAAATTTTATACCTCATGACCAACAAGCTTAATTTGATTTTGAATGTTATTTGCCATTTTTTGATTTCTTCTTAGATATTCGAATTACCAATACGAAAGCTTGGAACTTTAATACTGTCTTCTAATACGATTCTTCATCACGTCTGACGTAACTACATAATCATTTTTGTAAAACCTGTTACTTGAGAGAACAATTTGGTGTATTTTCTTTGTCTCATTTTCGTCTATTATTTCAAAAATGTTCTTCTACTTTCTCTTCGATGAATGGAGAAGATTTCATAAAGCCGATTTGTTCCATTTCGTTCATAATTTCTCATATCTTCCTCTTTTCAACTGCGGGTTTAGAAACCTTTATGAGAATCAATCTCCTTGAAAGTGCCCAGATTTTAATTCACTAACGTATTATACTAATACCGCAAAACTTGAAAAAGTAGAGTTTTGCATTAAACCAAAAATTGTTATATTATATTGATTATAATTATTATATTGGTAGATTCATCGACGTTCTCTATAACCCATAATATGATAAAAAGATAACTCCTCGTGCTTCTTTGCGTTATGCTTAAATTGTTTATAAATTATTGTAATCAGCTTAGATAATATTTAGAAAAAAATTAAAGCTATTTAAATACTTTCAAAAAAAAACTAAATATATTTAAATCCCAATACGTATTAAACTAAAACCCAACCCTTGAACAATCCCTACATATTCAAACTCTATTTAAATTGTTATGAAACTGTTATGAATTGTTATTTCTGAAAATGGAAGCGAATTCAAAACGTGGAATGCACAGTAGCTTCAACAATGCTCATCCATTTTATTCCTTTTTTTAGTTGGTAAATAAAAATTGAAACTGTTTAACATATTTATCTGTATGTTTGTACAAAAGTAAACTAACAATTTTTTTTTTATTCAACTCCGTGTTTTATAAAATTAATACAACGAATTCAAATCTCTTTGCTACTCCAGGGGCGTTAGGATTGAATACAACTAAATTACGTAAACTTGTAATAAATTCTTTATCCAAGTTTTTTAATGCGACCTTCTTTGCTTCATCTCTTTGTATTTTATTATTTTTCCTGTTGTGTTTCCTTCGGACGTCTTCTCCTTTTCTTCAATGATGGTTTGCATATTCTTTTCACACCCTAGCTGTTGTTTAGTCACCACCCTAGTTGTCGTTGTTCTTTATGTTCTTCAATTGGTTCTATATTAAGGTCTGTTTTACAGACTAGCAAGATATTTGGTCAATTTCACTTTTCACATAGATTACGTAACGCTTCAATTATAACACTTTTAAATGCGTTCCACATTTCTTGTACAGCTCATTTCCCTGTTACATTTCACGGAGTGCGTATCGTATACAGTGCCTAAAAAAAGTATTTGCGTATGTATTTTATATGAGATATTGGGACCATGGCGTAATTACTCAAAAGCTCTACAATTTTATTTGATAAAGCCAAAGCGTCACAAAATAGTGGCTAGTTTTAGGTTGATATAATATTAACAATTGACCCTTAGCCGCAAGCAACCTTGGTTTAATTAGTCAATAGATCTACAATTTCACTTGATAAAGCCGAGGTCGCTTGTATCTGAGGCGTTACATTATGATGACCACTTTGAGATTGATACAATGTCAATTATTAACCCTCGACTGTATGCAACCTCTGCTAAATTCGTTAAGAGTCACAATGTGATGACCAATTTTAAGTTAATACTATAATCTTAATCACTAATTATCAATCTAATCTTAATTAGTCAACAACAATCTACAATCTCAATTGATAAAGTCGAGACCACTTGCAGCCGAGGCGAAATAATATGATGACCAGTTTTAGGTGGATATAATGTTAATCATTAAGCCTCGGCCGCAAGCAACGATATGTATGTCTGAGAAGCTGTAACATTACGATAATTAAGTTTTTGGCTTAAACGATTTTCTATCACACTACTTCTTTTATACAACTGACTGGCCAAGATAGATTTGCCAAGCTGTACGCCAGAACTCTCTGCTGTTCCATTTTTCTGAGCTTCTAATGATTGCTGCGTATTTCGTAGCCTCTTTTAACTCCAACTTCCTTTTTTGTTGACCTATTCTCTCGTTATATTAAAATATAATCAATAATTATTGATTAATCTCCTCTGCTTGGTTGTGGTCTTGCGAATTTATGTATGTCATTATTTTCAAAGAAGTCATGTATTGTGCAGAAATTCAAAAGTTTCTTTCCAATCCTTTATTTTTATCTATCACTCTTTTGAATATTTGATCACTAACTCCGCCCACTCTTCTCTGGCTCTTTTTACTACTTCGTTCAAATATTCCACGAACTTCTTTATTATCTGCCATTTCTCTTCATCGGGTCCATATACTGCTGTTACAGTTTTCATGCTTGTTATATATTTTAACAATATTTTCAAGTCTGCCTTCTCAAATTCTTCTTCTAATTCTATTTCCGACTGTATTTTATTCTATCTTCGACTGTCATTCCCATTAAAATCTCTTTTCCTACTTCTCGAATTTAACTTTGAATAATTTGTTTTCTTCTTTTATCTTATTCATATCATGATGAAATAGAGATGCAATACTTTAATTTAATTATTTATTTGTTGGAGATTGTGATTTGATATAAATATTTAATAGGTTAAGTTGTCCGTAAGTAACAAGAAATTTTTGTTCCTTTTTCTTTATTGGACCTTTTAATAATAAAAGCTCCAAACGGTTCGATATTAAAACGTCTACCTTTATTCATGCCTTTCCTCCTCCTTCAGCATTACCTGCTTCCTGATAAAAGTTACGCACTTAGTCTGTTTAAGCCAATATCTTGGCAAGTCCAGCAATAAATCTTAACTGAACGGGAACGTTCCATACCGAAGCTCTGAGCTCCCTGCTTTGGACCTGCCCATTACGTTCCGAAGAACTTTATGAAGTAAAGAACAAAGTTCGTACTTTTCCGCGGATACGTCCTACGCCTCCTCGCCGTGCATTAAATAGTTGGCGAACTTTCGTTTTCCCTTGATTTTCCATCCGCGGCGCAGGTTGACGTTTTATTATTTCCTTTTTTTTCGGTTGTTATTCAGCATGTACTACGCGTGAAAGTTTAACTTATGAGTGAGCTTTCGGACAGCAATCGGCCCGGTCCATGTTTATTTATAAAGTTCGCGCCGTACCGATATTCGGGAATGAAAATGCCATCGATTCATCGACGCCAAGCTCGGTTGTCAATGAAATACTCCGTTGAAGTAAAATCCAGCAATAACTACTAATAATAACCGTTATCCATCGTGGATTTTCGCAGCCCTGTGGAGTAATAAAACTTTCAACTAACATTTCATATGCCACACAAAATGATTCAAAAGAAAAATAAGAATTTCTGCTTTTATAAATTTAGTTATAAAAAAAATTTTTACATTTTCTGTTCTTTTACGATTTATAGTTCCTCCTTTAATTCACTATGTGTCCTCGGACGGACGTGCGGAGGTGAAAAAAGGATCCGCTGTCAGTTTGGAGTGTAAGGCAAGCGGAAATCCAACGCCGAAAATTACATGGTCGAGAAAGAATAACGTACTTCCGAATGGAGACCAGACGTTAGTCACTCCGATTCTAACTCTAGATAATGTGGACAGACACCAAGCCGGCATATATTTGTGCACGGCGAGTAATGGAGTAGGAGAAGCTGTTACCCAGCAGATTATCCTTCATGTGTTATGTAAGTATGGTTTTAGAGATAGAGAATTACGATGTAACCCTTTAACGAGTGTAAATTTTATTAATTAATTTCAACAGGCATAATAAGTAAATTAAAGCGTTGGTTGATGAAGAAGAGAATAAAATGATATAATCAATAAATTAATCATTAATACCTAATATAAATAGAACAATTACAAAGACAATAATTTTCAGAGGTAATAATGAAATTTGGTATTATCAATGATTGGAAGGGCAAATGTCGTAATTATTTCATACACAGTAGCGAATTTCGAAACCAATTAGTTTATGGTTCAGTTTCAGACCATTAACTGCACCATTGAATGTTGAATGGAAATGCTAATTGCTCCTCTTGGTAACGTAGTTCCGGATCAATTTACACGAATATTTTAATCTTGCAAAATGTGTTACAACATAAACAAACTTATCGTTATGAGGCATCTATATGACTTTATTATATTTAATCTTTTTTATTTTATTGAATTTTTTGTAATTCAAAAGTTTCAATCAAGCGCGAAATATCCTGTTCAAACCAGTATTAAAAAAAATTGTGGGAGTAGACGAGTCAGTTGATTTTCAATGCCTGTCAAAAACAATCACTGTGGGATAAATTGATTAAAATTGGATTCGTATTGTTACCGATGCAAAAGAATGACGCGCTCTTCCCATCTCAAATAAAATATTTTAGAATAACATGGAAATGTTTTAAGAATATAACCTGAATGGTCGAAAGAAATATTTGCTTTAAGAATATTGAATAAGAAATTTCTGATTATAAACTTACGCCTCAAAGATTACTATAAATTTATTAGTCTTCTTTAAGAATATTTCTTTTCATTAAAAAAATTTAAATGAAAATAAAATTAATGTTTGTCATATCAGTTTAAATAAAGTAAGCAAAGCAATATTATAATTTAAATGAAAGTAGATCAGCTACTGTAATAAATACTAGTAGATGAATGCAGCTCAAGCGAGAAATAGCTTTAATAAATTTAGAGATAGGTAAAAGATGCCGTTCAAATTTGTAAAACTTTATGGAGCAAAGTTTCATTAAAACTTTTAATGGCTATCGTACTTTAAAGTTGCAATCTGCGCGCTATGTGTTAAGGGTCGCGTTCCGCGAACTTATTTGCCACTCGGATCATAAACCGTTTAGTGCAATTTCCTTTAAACACGTTTAATTTTCCCCCCTTCACTATAATATAACCAATAACTCACTACAAATATTTAAAAAATAACGGTCAAAAGTTCATGGCTAAAAGTTTTTACGCATTATTCAAGGATAATATTTCGAGTTCGGAATAATCGAGGCGAATATTTCGGGGCAGAAAATCGCAAAACCAACGCAGGGCTATACACTTGGGCCCAAGGGGAGGATAACAACTTGGAATTTACTTAAGGCTTGGTATCTTTTATTTTCAGATCCCCCGGAGATCTCGGTGGAGAGTCCCGTGGTGCATTCTGGAGAAGGTTTGGAAGCCCAACTCGTCTGCATCGTGCACGGAGAAAGTCAACCGGAAGTAAGATGTTTTCTATTTTCCTAACCTTAACACAAATTAAAATGTTTTTAAAAAAAAACTTTTAAATATTATCTTTTAGATTTTTTTAAACCTTTTATTATTTGATAATTAAATCATTTCTTCAACCTTAATAATAATTTTTTTATTATTAATTTTATTTTAACATTGTCTCTTCAAAATTCTTTTGAAATTATAGCAAGTATTCTTTCCTTTTAATAATTTGGTTATGCATCTATAACGTAAATTAATGCAATAAATGAATCATGAGATCGCTCCAACTCGGAGCTGCTCGTCTCAATCACTACCAGTCACAATGTTATAAACATTGTATAACATTAAAAAAACAATATTGGACCGAAATAGAAAAATCAATATTTCGATTAAAAAATACATTCAAATCCTATTAATCTAGTTCATTATTTATCGAAGGTGATTCTTTTATGATTTTCCCTAGATACATACATACTGATAAAACGCAAACAACTCATTTGCAAGCTATACATACACACGGATGAAAGACACATACTCAAAGCCAACGATGAATAAAGTATAGGACATTAAAGAAATAATCGAATAACTCGAACACAGAAAATAGTTGAAAGTGTTTAAAGAAAATAAAGACAATTCTGATATTGTAATTAAACCGAATTGCTTTCAATAAATCGACAATTTTAGATTTTGGTACAAACAACCTGAAATTAATAAACAATTGGTTGAACAAATGTTCACAATCGCACTCTGTTATACCTTGTTTTTAAAGAAGGAGGAATGAATACAAAAGTTAGATCTACAACTTGAAATATTACCAGTAAATATAGTGGTATTAAAAATAAATAACTATCTTATTTATTATTATTATTTTTCATTCTTCTTTTGGCGTTATAAGCCGTGGTGGGTTTTAGCCTGCTCAATGATCCTCTTTCATTCTGTCTTCTCGCCACACATCCGTCTCCACCCCCTAACTCCCACTAGTAATCCAACCTGGAATTCTCCTTGTTGTCCTCTTATTGCTCATTCATCCCACATACCCCATTTATACAAGTCTCCTACTTTTAATGAACCTGATAATGTCGATAATATCTATTAATTGGTTTAATTCGTGATTCATTCATAACTTCCAGGAATTTCACTAGTTTAGGACAAATCTAGGTGAGATATAATAACACAAAATATATTCAGCGGTTTTTGACTTGTCGTTGCAAAGTTGACAAGTTAGATCTTCAGCTTGTCTAATGTTGAATAGATAATATTCTAGGGACGTATCAGGACACTTATTGGTTTTCTTTTGGGACGGAGTTATCATACTCTTTGCCTGTCTGTGTGTTGGATGTTCTTTCAGGCGCAAGGCTACCTTCGAGTGCTAATTAACTGTTTTAAGTAGTAGATGTTACCAAAATTACCTGTAGTAGTTTATTGCAGATGTTAGCTCTTTCCGCAACTCTTACTGCAGTCCTGGAACAGACTAAGGATGCTTCTATTAATCTATTAGGTACAAGGTACTCAACTGCTAAATGTTTCTCCCCGTAAGAATATTTCCCTGCCCATCCTTACATCCATGTATCTTGGTGTAACATCTTTCGTACTTTCTTTCATTTTCTTATAGAACCTTTTACTCTCGCCTTGTTATAATTCTACCATTTTTCTTTCTTCCGGTTTATCTATTTTCTCCACTCGCTTTTCTATGCTCTTCATCACACCAGTCTTCAATCTTTGGTTTTTGTATCACACCAGCACTGTAGGTGCGCTGTATTACTCGATGTCTCAATAATTGACAGTCTACCAGTTTCTGATTTAACTTCATCTTATATTCCTCTTTTAAACTACCAATCTCAGGTCTTGCTGTATCACATCGTGTATTATTAGGTTGTTGGCCACACGCAAGAGTTATTTGGTGTTTCATTTTAACTCCTACTAAGTAGTTATATCATCCAGACTCTGGATGGAAGTATCCCACCTCTTATAGACCAATGGTCTCAGTATCTGCCACGTTCCTTTATATACATTTTTTGTGTGACCCTTCATGATCACACTTTATGACTTTCAAGTTATTGCTTGCTGCAAATTATGCAACTCTGAGTCTGTGACTACTTGTTTCTTCATGGACAGTTTGTTTCCCAAACATATCTTTAAAGTAGACCTCTCTGCGAAGTTTAGCGTTAAAGTTTTCGAGGACCACAATGGCGCAATGTTTTAGAATTCTCTCACATACTATTTGCAGTTCATCATGTGATATACTTATGATGCATAGTCTAGCAGACATTGGATGAAATCCCAAAACTGATCCATGGATTCTTTTGATTATTATGAATCCAATTCCGTATTGTTCTTGTCTTTCTTTGTATCCATAGAAATATAGCGAGCAGTCTCTTTTTTTTATGGCGCTCTTACTTTTCTTATCCACTAAATTGCTAGAACATCAATCACGTATTTTTCAGACTCTCCGGCTACATTGATCAAAGAGCCGGGTCGCAAAATGGTTGGAATGTTCCAGGTTCTAAATAGCAAATACAGAAATAAATATAACAGAAATGAAAGACACCAAAAATTCGATTAAAATGAAACCCACCGAAAAATCTAATAAAGTAAAAATTTATTGAGATAGATAAGGAAAAGATCCAAACAATCGATGTAATAACTGCCAATGATATGAATGTCAGATATTAGTATCTAATAAAACGATCTACATCCAAAGTTCCTCTTTCTTTTCTATAAGTTAGGGACGCGAATTAAAGATAAGTTCAAAAGATAAGTTCTATTATTGCTGACCTATATCTATATTATATTTGAAAATTAAAGTTTAACCCGCATCAACGCCTTTTTAAGATAATATTATTTATTTAAGTGAAGAAAGCTTTATGGATAATTTTATTATCTCTCTAAAACAAACTCAATTAAATCAATTTTTAATATTCTTACGGAAATTCGTCCGAATTATACCTTAACTCCTTATCCTACTTTAACGAGTTTGACTCTTGATAAAAGTTTAACGCAAAACCTAATGTCAAACTCGGATAACCTTTGATATATCGAAAAAAATCGTGTTAATCTTTATCGTGATTGCCAATCATTTTTGTTTACCACATGTTTGACTCTTTTTGGATTGATGAGTCGTTTGAATTATTGTAAAATAAATGAATCCAGTAAATTGTTTGTTTCGAAAAGTAAACTTAATCGTACGAAAGGATTTAATTACAACAAAATTCGAATACATTCGAAAAGCTCAAGATACACATCGTAGCTTTAATTACTGCTTTAAGTAAACCTTTCGTTTAAAATACTTAAACTGCGTTTGTTGGTAGATTTTATGGTATAGAGATACAATGCAACTGGACACTACCGAACAACGTAGCATGGAGTCACACGGTTCGAGGCACAAGCTCGTTATCCGTAAAGTCCAGCGCTCGGACTTCGGCAACTACACTTGTACCGCGGACAATCCGCTAGGGAAGAGCAGAAAGACCGTCCAATTAACGGGTAAGGAACGGGATCGACCTCTTTGTGAGGAAGGGGCCAGTCATTATTTTCAGGCAAGAAATAGAACGTTCACCGCATAGGGTGGAGTGGGAAAGAAGGTCAGGAAAAAAAACCGATGGTAGACAAGGGATAGAGGGGAAAATGGAAAACGGGGATGGGAATAGTAAAAATAAACGCTTCCATACCGTTCTTGTGACCGTTGTTGCAGGAAAACCGAACGCTGCGAAGTTCAGCAGTGCCTCAAGGGGTCGATGGAGGGACAGCTACAATATTAGTTGGGCGGTCCACTCGCTCAGCCCCATCGAGGAGTACAAATTGCTCTTCAGGCGGCTGCCTGAATCGGCCGCAGCGGCCGGACACGAGGACGGACATCCGCAACCATTGCACCATCAGAGCCAGAGAAGGATCACCGGAAAGGTAATTTACACTCGAACACGTCTCTAACTATACAAGCTTATCTAATCTAATATTTATTCAAAAAGAAAACAATTTTTATTATTAAATCGCTTTTTTTATTCGTGGTAATTGATCCACATCCATTCTAAATCCCTGAAGATGTGTATCCCAGTAATCCAACATGAGTAGAAAATGTACATAATTGCAATCCGTAATTTATGGTTCCAATTGGTCCGTATTGACCAATTCACAAATCCCAAACGTAGTATTGCAATCTAGATTGCAGTTCTAGGATTGCCATCACTATTTTTAAATTTAATATCTTTCCAAAATTACGGAATTGTTTTGCATTAAACATTCTGTATAATCTCACCACACCATAGTAGAATTAACGATGACTAAATTCATTTTTACTTCAACCATAACAATCGATGTTATACAATACCAACCGCGATTGTTAACTGAAACAATTGTAAATACAAAAACGCCAAACACCGCAGCGTTTGTAAGCGGCAAATCGCATTGTCCGAACATACAATAATGACCATAGTTTGTGAAACAAAATTTGTTAATTTCGAAACCTGAAATACATTCTTTGTTTAATTGATTATTCGCGAGAATGCTGCGTTTAATTGTAAAATTATTATTATTAATTATTATAACGAAACGGTTGATATTAAATTGCGTAGTTGGTATTAGTTTAATATTATTTATTTTCCATTTAATTACAAATTGCGTGCTGTGACAATTTAGCAGGTCTATTGCTATTCTGGAAAAGGAAAATCGATTCTAGCCGTGGAGTTGATTAATTCTAGCAACTTTTTAACTTGGCTTCAATTAACTTTACAGGGCCTAAATTTAGATTTTCCACTAGAACCGTACACAAATGTAATTAAACAAACTCTATTAACTAAAAAAAATAAGTTAGATATAATTTCGTTTTAATCGAAACTATTCGACCATGTTTGCAACTTAGAATTTGCTGTAAAAATCTATAATGTTAAATTTAGTAGTAAAGAACAAAAAACTGTAAACACTCGCAGACATATTATTTCCACGCAAGCTAACAATTTCCCACTCGAGTGAAAATAATGCTGGCGCTCTGTGGAAATGTAAGCAACGAAAATATGAACGAAAAAACAATATTTAATTTTTATATTGCGAAATCTTTTAAATTGGTCACTCGATATTAGAGAAACTGTAACGTTCAACACAGTTATTGACGATATTAAACGGTCGATATTTCATTAAGTTGAAGTTAAACGTCGCTTCCGATATTTGAGATATTAAAGATAAGATCCGTAATTTATGTGATGTACAGGTTGTTTCAAAAAGAAAGGGGAAATAACAATGTTGATGTATTAACAGATTTCTTTGTTACTTAAAAAGATTAATAATCAAATAAATTCACCCAAAAAAAGAACTCAAAGGTATATATTACGATATTTACGATTTCGTACTATTCCAATTTTTTAGAACACTCAGTACAACAGATTGGTGTTTGTTGCGAAAACTAATGTGAATTAAATGAAATATATTGCCTTCATTTTCGTAAATAACTAGTCTAAATCTTGTGGTAATTGCGTTTCCTCCGCTAACAAGGATAAATTGCAAAACAATGACCATCAATCCAAATCAGTGATTCTTAACCTTGTTAGTAGTGTTATCCCTATAACCTGTCTGGTTCCCATTACGGACTAATTTTTTTTATTATAATACTATAAATAATGCTTTAGTAAACATATTTTTCCTTTATATATTTTATTATATTTAATCGAAGATATGCTATATATTTTTTCATAATCAAACCCAATTTCAGTTTCTCCTAGGAAAAACTTGTTTTATTATACTTGAACGTCTTCGCATTTATAACAAATGACATAATCAATAAAATAGCGCATTGGATAAAAGTTGGAAGTAATCGTCGCTAACCTGACTCAGATTTATCAAATTTAAGAGCACAAACGATGCAAAATTTCTCAAAAGAAATATTAGCTGTTATGAGAATCGGCTATCCAGGTGGGCCATCTACATACAAATGGTTTGAGAGATCCCCATAGTATATCACAACAGGTTTGTTGTGTGATTGCATTTGACGAATACACGACGAGTCACGAAATGGATTTAAGTTCATTATTTCATGTCTTGTTTTTTTGGTTTTAATTAAATAGAAAATAAAGTGATGAAAATATCTAAAAATCGTACTGCGTACATAATCTTGTTAGTAACAGCGTAGCATTAGTTCAGACACGAATCCAAATTACGTAGCGAGGTCGAAAAGTCTTGATTGTTAACCGGAGCTTTTACTCCGTAAACCCCCGGAACGGACCGACCGGACTAATTACTACCCCGACTGTCCTTTCTAAATCCCGATAATTAGTAGGACGCTACGTGGCGAATACTACCCCAATGTCGATAATAATATTTCATCTTAATTCCGTAACTAGCTGAAACCATTAGTTCTCGTTTAACATACAAATTGCCGCGACAATAATTAAGCAAAGTGTTTTCACCCTCGCGTTAAAAAAATAACGCATCGCTGCGCCCTTCGTATAATGCGGAGGGCAGCGAAATTTTAAAAAATAATCATAAATTTTGCGGTTTTAATTAAATTTCCCGACCCAAAACCCACCCCCTTTGCTGGACCCCCTGAAATTCATCCAGTATTCATTGATTTTTGCGTTCCCCGACAAAGGATTTGTTTTTGACCCGTTCGCAATTGGTCCCGTAATTTTTTGCGAGGGAAAATTTCTTGTTCAAATTACCTGACGGTTCGATTAAAAAAGGAACGTTAATTCCCTTGGGTTAATCTCTGAAATTGGTTTCTGCGCACTACAATTTACAACATGAAACAATCGCTTATTTTAGGTAAATCCGCGGGGAGTCGGCGCACTTCAGAATTCTCCTCTAATTAGAATGGTCTCCGTCCAACGGGTAATGGTTATTACGGGCTACTAAGGATTTACTAAAATCCGTTCAAAATAGAAACTCCATAAGGCTTCCTTATCGCCCTTTATTTCGTAACAATAATATCCCTAATTATTAAATCAAATAACACAAATTCATTAAAAATTCGCTTAAATTAACTAAATAATTTCTAACTTAATTTTTATTGTATAAGTTTGATATTTGTTAGCCCACTCTATTATCATTGTTAATAACTTATCCATGTTTGATGTAGTTAACAAAGTTGGTTGTTCGTATTATATCCACAGGAGGGTATTGGGATTTACGTACAGCAGCACCAGCAGTTCATCGACAGGCGAACCGATTGGCGTGATGTTATCCTGCAGGCAGATCCAAGTCAGTCGCCGAAGGGCGTCCAATCGATGAGCTATATAATCAAGGGCCTCCAACCGGGACAAAATTATGAGGCTAAGGTGCAGGCTCGCAATCGGTATGGATGGAGCCCAATTTCTGAACCATTTACATTTCAAACCACAGACACAGGTTGGTATTATCATAAACATAAAATTAACATAACCAAAAATAGTAAAAAGAAAAATAATACATAGTTATAGAAATAAGATTACAATCATGCATGATTTTTACCAAATACATAACCTTTTATACAAGTTAAGCCCTCCATATGGCTTAACTCGTATCATTATATTACATGATTAATTTTAATTTTCAAGCTTGATATCTAAAGAGTTGATTTCAAGGTTTGTCTTGGAACTTACAAAACTCTTTTAATAATGATATTGATTATTAAAACCTGTCTATATAAACATATCACAAAATCACTGACACAAATATCAAGATTATAGATTGATTGCTATTGAAATCAGTTTCCTTCCGAAAAGTTCCAAGTGAGGGTAGCAACCTCAATTAAAGTGTAAGATTGAAGTTACATACTGTGTAAAGCACCATCACGATGAAAACTTTTGAAAATTAAATATTGATTGCCGAAACCAGCCCGCATCCTAAGATTGTAATTTAAGAATGTAGACTTTTTAGAATTTTAAGAAATATTGCACCTCTTTAGGATGGCGTATTCTTTTCTAAAATTACTCTACATCCAGATGTCGAAGAGTCGTAATGATTTAAACTTATAAGATCATAAACTTCAGAATCCGAAGAACTAGAAATTGGTCTTGAAATAATGTTTCACACTAACCGAAAAGATTCTTGATTATAAATTTACCATAATAGGTTTTGAGATTCCTTACATGTTGTTAAAGAAGGATTAGATGCACTTGTTGTATAATGAGAATGGAATCTTGGGATGTAAACTTCTACAGATGACATATTATTTGCTGAATTAAGCCTAACTCCAGATTCTAACGATATCATTTTTTGAAAAATGTAAGATAGAGAGATTGTTTGTTGAAACCTATCTGCATTTTGAAGCTATCTATATTTTGAGGTTGAACTTACTTCAGCTGGTAAGATAATGCTCTCTGAACTTTATCCTGCGTGTTGTTTAGAAAAACTTTCGAAATCAAATTTGTTTATCGGGGTCATGTAAGGTTATGCACGTTAACGCCTAGAGATGTTATGCAATTGAATTTGGTCTTTGAAGAAAATCGATAGTTTTAATTTCCATGAATTATTTATTTCATTACAACACACCTAAAAATTTCACTACAACCACCGTATTTATTTTCTGTGATTAAACAAGTTCGAACGCATAAAGTGGGGTATCAAAGGCGAACAAATAGCTAGATTAGTTCTAAATGAAACATAACGTGTTATGCAATCGTAATTGTAACATTTATGAAGAGATTTACGTAGGTATATTTGAAAGTGGTGGCACATAAACGCGCTAGTTACATCCAAAAACACATAAAACATACCTATACGAGCGCTAACGGTCCAATCACAGATCTAATTTGGCTAAGAGCCCTTTTATATCTCCACTTTTATATCTGGATGAATACGGACGCTAATGCTCTAAATTTTACATAATAAAACGGTCAATATACTTTACCTTATTACATAGAGATTCAATTTATTACCACGTTTCAGATTCTGTATTTTTATGTAAAATTAAAATTTTTAAACATTTTTATTTGTTTTTATTTCAGATATGACTTATCCGGAAAGACCTCAATCACCTAGCCATGTCTATAATGGTAAGATATTAATAGTAATGATTCTAGATATAATTATAATAATTACAGCTTTTAAACTTAATTAAGAAAGGTAAAACAACCTAATATCATAAATTATTCTTGAGACATTTACGAACATTTTATTTCTATATCTCTTAATTATTTTATTAGAGATAATGATAGCATGATACACTTAGTTTGTGGTGCTTTGATCTTAATGGAAAACTTTGTTAACGTGGGTCTTCATTAATATGGAATTATACGGTATTAGGCTGCTTTTCCCGTAATCAACTATTTAAGCTCGACTTAATGCATTTGGTTTGCAGAGAACGAAATACGCGACTTGGGAATGAGGCTATTCTCGAGCTCCACCAATGTAATATGTTCGTTTCGATTATCGACAATTAGTTTGATAATAATCTCGGTCAGCTTGCTCTCTTGAACTGGAACAAATTCACCGTATTAAATTTCTCTAAATCCCGAAACGTCCTAGAAAATTTCAAATAACGCAGCACCAAATATTTATTTTCACTTCTTCTTGTTATTAATACAATTTCTATGATTGCTAAAGAGAACAAATACAAACGAGGAGTCATATTCGTTTCGCTGTAAGTAAAGAAAAAAAAGTATATTCTATTTAATCTTTATATTGAATGTTCGCTATTTAAATGTTAACGACAGGGTATAAATTCTTTCAAATCTATTTGTATTCTTTTTTTGTATTACATTTTCTAGTATTTCATTTCAGATGTAGTAATAGAATATGTTTTGATTTTTGAACGTTTAAGTTGTATATTTATAACTTCGATGTACGTGTATTATAAATAAGATAAGTGAATTAAAAAAAAACTATGTGACATAAGTTGTACTAAATCATAAAGTTGAGAAATCGGAGGAGAATAGGGCAAAGGGCGGATTAAACAGTTACTTACTTTGAATGACCAAACAGACAAAAATAATGAAAAAAAAAGAATAAATGAAGATGAAGACTATATATTTTTGTAACGAAAATTGTAGAAAATGAAAAATTAAAATTTGTCTCGCTGGCTTCGGCATGTTTATTTACAATCTTTAAACCGGCAAAATTACAAAAAATTCGCATGTAGAATTATGTATTTATGTATAAAAGTGATATTTAAAGATTTAATATATTACATATAAGTGCATAAAAAATTTTTTTTAAGATATTTTGGGAGAATTGTCTAGGTGTTGCATACAAATTGTATAATTGATAACTTTTGATTATGATTAATTTCAATATTATATTATTATAAATGGTTTTGAATTACAAGTATAAAACTAAAAAATAGATGATTTTAAATTTTATCTAAACTTGAATGATTGCAATGCTTTTTCATAAATGGATTAAATCCAGGTAAGAATTCCTAAATTAAAAAATGTTTTAATGTTATTTTCTTCATTTGATGCGACTCAAATAAAATATTTTGTTGCATTTATCATTTGATATGATTTAAACGTTTTAATTTACAGATTCAAGTTATTATTGAAACTGGTTTCTTTATGAAACTGTTTATGAAACTTTGGCCATAAGATCTTGATAAGTTAATGATATCAACAATCCAACCGTACTGACTTTGACCACAATTGTCAAAGATTTTCTTGGACCCATCGCCTTAATTTTTGTTTGACCATATCAAATGAGACGCCAAATGGTTGCTTTAATACCATAAATTTTAGCTTTAGCCCCATGTTGTAGTATATAGAAGAATAATGCCAAACCCATGAAATCCACATCAATAGCATATACTTGCGTAAAATGCATTACCATATTGCAAATTTGCTTCACCAACAGCTTCATTTATACGAACTACAGACCAAAATCCAATTATAGATTATAAGTAAACTCAACCCAACTCTAGAAGCTTTGCCTTCAATTATCATTCAGTAATAATCCAAATATATCAATCCATACACTGTTAGCAAACGTTTTTGAAACACAAATAATAGCATGCATCAAATAAAACTCTTGTCATTAGCCTTAAAATGGAATCACAAACGCATATTGATCTCCTTCTCTAATAGAACACAATTTCATATAGAGGAGATCCTTATAAATTTTGAAATCATCCCAAAAATATAATTCGAAAAATAACAATAAATAACGGCCTCAAGCTTTATGCGCAAGTTTCATTTCATTTAAATATTTTGTTTAGTATGTTAATAAAAGCTAATAAAGGAATCACAAAATAACGGCTTCAAGCTTTATGTGCAAGTTTCCATTCATATCTACGTCCCGTTTTCAAGCCAGTGAATGAATAGTCTCTAATACCTCTTCCGGGGTAACATCAATTCTCTATAATGAATAGGCGAAATAGGATTGTTCTGGAAATTCTCTGTAATATAGTAATAATCGCATTTCTATATCATCACCACCTTGTAATACTGAATTCTAATGCTTCATGAAAATCATGATCATGAAAATCCTGAAATTCATTCCGGTCAATAATTACCGTATTAGATTGAAATTTCCTACCATAATAGTCGACCCGAGATCGCGAAGAGAAATAGACACAACAAACGTGAAAATGTACAGGAAGAGCTTTCGCAATTAATCGAGTGAAATTGTTGTTTAACGAGTATAGCTTACGCAGATAACATTTTAGCAATAAAGCATTAAATAATCTGGTTTCATGTAAGTGGAGAACGTAGAATGATAATAACTTGCTTGACAATAATTAAATAATTTGCCGTTGTCTTCAAATGACTATCAAATTAATATGTATATTATAACATTATATTTAATATTATCCCTTGATTTTCCTTATTTGAATCACTTCATACTATTATGCTATTAGCAAATCATTCCAGCTCTTGGTAATGATCCTCAAATTAGGGAGATGATCAGAAACACTAATAAGAAATTGATTTTACAAAATACATGTCTCGCATTTCATTGTCCAAAAACAATTACGCTGTGAAATTTTTGCCAAGCGCAAGTACTAAATATTAATAGAAAAACTAAACCCAACCCAACCAAATAACAAAGGCAAAGGGAAATTATCAAGCGTACTTGTTAAATAGAGACACCGAAACAATATCAAGGATATTCGTATAATTAAGAATCATGTACCCATGACAATATTGTGGCCAAAAATAAAATATCGTACTTAGCTTGACAATAAGAATGTCAATAGAATATCGTATGTTCAGAGCTAAGTATAAGGGATAGAAGCTAATCTATCAAGCGTGAAAATAAGAAATAGGGGCAAAAATGAAAATATTGATATGTGCAAAAGCATATCAGTAGAATATCACAGAAAAATCATGGTCAGAGGATAACGTAAATTATCCAGAATGATTGCATAGAAACCGGCGAAATAATCTGCATAAATAATTTTTCATAGTAGCAAATTATTATGCGTTAATGTTGTGAAACTAAATATAAAGAGAGCAATAATATCGTGAATAATATCAAGAATATCAGAAATAAAAGCAGATTACAGATCTCTGTTTTGTATGTACCGATACCATCCGAAAACTAGACAACGTTGTTTAGTCAAAAATTTAACTCTACAAAGGATATCCCTCATTCCCTAGTAAATACGCTTGCTATAACTTATTAAAATTAATATAATCATACCATAGCCATAATCAGTTCTACAACTTGTAATAAAGTTGTCAAAATTGTGACAACACGACACATTTCAACAGTTTCGCCCAGTTTAGTTAATCCTTTGATTTTGATACCAGAATCTTGTCTCTGTATTTGTCTGGCTCGGAGGAGTAAATGGCCATAAACCCAAAAGGAGGCAAGATAACTGCAACAACTGTAAACACTACTATAATTAATGGAGGATATTTCCCGACAATCCAAATTTGCAATTTATAATGTACAAACACAACGATGCATAAAGGTGCTGTTAGAAACCCTTCACAGCCTAATTTGACTGTATTACCGATAGTATAATTATACTGTTAAATATGTTCGTGAGTATGAGACTAATGTGTAGTATAGTATATGATCATTACAAAATAATCACTATTACTTATTAAATTTTGAGTAATACTTTAAAGTATACTTTTAGCCAAAACCACATCAATTGATGAAACCTGCCGATAACTAAATGTATTATTAGTCATGGTAATAAGATAAATAAATCATGATTTTGATCCTAAACTCAAAAAATTAATTACGAGTTTAACGAGAATCTTGTATGTTATATCTCTATCAATCACAAACATGACAGAAAGCTAATTCATACACACATTCAAAGGATATGTGTAGAGTTTCGTTTGCAAAACTAAATATACCCTGTCATGCGTTTATATACTGACTTGTTTAAGTTATGTTCAGAGTATTCGTAGATAATTCAGAAAAATCAAACTCTATAATAAATTGTTAGGCTGCCAAACAACTGTTTTTCACTCATTTCACATTTAAACATTATCCGGCACACTTAATTGAATCAAAATTCAATCAAATCTTGATAATTAGCGGATGTAGTTTTATATTAACTTACAAGTAATACAACGCCCGTTAATATTGATAAACTTTTTGTATTTGTCAATATTTGGCAAAATAGCGCAAAATAAACAATTTTTGAAATTCTAAATCATCTAATTAAACTTTGTATCTGTAATTCAAAATCACCTTGTATAGTTAACACCAAAAATTATCTGAAATACTACTTATCATTAAAAAATCTTATAGTGGCTACAGACACATCTCTCAAAACTTAAAATTAAAAAATTAGTTTCATTGATTGTACTTTTTCAGTTTTAAATCAAAAAGAGAGATTGAACAAAAATTAATAAATTAACGTTTAAATATTTAATTTTAATACAAGTTACCCCAACCGAAAATATACATAACCAGATGCCTTTAATGTAAACCAAATCACGTAAATCGCACGCCGTGGTTCCAACAGGTGCTGATTAAGGAGGTTAATGGAACTTAGAAGCTGCAGTAAAACCGCAATCTGAAACTCCACATACACACCTGTAACTATTATCCGGCCGCATACAACACGTTTATGTATATAATATTTTCATTAAGTTATAAGCCAATATGTTCTAATTTAACACTGAAAAAGTACACATTTTGGGCTTATAAACATTTACAATCAGAGCATCTAAAACTGAACTATAAAAGTGTATTTATCTTAGGAAGGTTCAATATCGAGCGCTCCTTTTTTTGGTTGTTTGAGTTTTAAGCTGCCGTCGTGAAAGTGTGAACATAATGTCACCGTAACGGAAAACGTTCGCTTAGTTGAAAGGTAAAAGAAAAGCATCTAAATGAACCCAAAAAGAAAACGAGAGAAACGTCTCCTTGCTTTGAAACCACACTCCGGCACCTGTTAATTGGTGTCCTATTACCTATTTCGCTTATTAGTTACCGTCAAAGGGTCCAACAAAAGCATAGATAGAGCTATACATTTTTCTTTATTTACCAATTTTTTATTTCTTTTCTTATAGATATACGTGTAGATAAGGCGCATTATTAAACTCCGAACATTGCGCCTGTAATTATACTAAATGTTGATCAGTTTTATATAGTATATTAGAAAAAAAGCTAATCGATTAAGACTAATGCACTTTTTCCGAGCACAATATTAAATTTTTTTTTTTATAAATTTATCATAGAAATATTTACGTTACGTTCAGTGATCGATATCTACCTTAAAAATAAAACGAACCAAAGCTGACTAAATAAACTGTGTGTTACATAGATAACTCTAAATGTATAGAATTTTTGTTGCAATGATAAAAAATAAAATAAAATGTGCAGTATAAGCTTGTAATGTTAATAATTTAAAAATAATTGACAGCGCGACCAGAAATTGTAATTTCCAGAATTACCATAAACGTATAATCCCGATCTGATTGCGGTCACCATCCAATCCAATATAGGATTTACGATAATTATAAAAGAATTATGTTAACTAGAATATTGATACAGCTTCAAACAACACCATCTAATTAATCTGCTGCATAACACCATCTTATGTTACACATTTTATACAAAAAATACACAAAAAAAATTCGTTATGTTGTAAGCTATAAAAAATCTCGTATTAAGTTTACTTTTAGGAAACGTTACAACAATAAAAAGAAGTAAGCACACGTGTTAATGTTGTCGTCATCATCAAGTATTGACAAATTTTGTGTAACGTCAGGACGAAGAGAGTTAAAGGTCTGTGAAGGTGGCGATGAAACCGACGTATAAACTATTATAGGAAGATGTATTTTTTACTATGTATTACATAAAAAAGCTTATAAGTGTCGTGATATAAACGTATATAGGTTAACCCATTAACTGTGTATGTACGTAAGTAAAAAAAAATCATAACGAAACCGTTCTGCAATTTCTGTATCGCGGGAATTATTGACAGAAATAATTAAAAAATGAATAAATTAATAAAAACGTGTGACACCGTCAAGATTTAATTGTAAGTAACATTATATTTAGGTATGGAATCTCGTCGCTATATAAGTATCGCGTGCTATTACTGTAAAGGATGAGTATTTACGAAATTGTATGGCATACATGGAACTGACAAAGAATAAAACGTGTTTATATTGTACATTTATAGAGTTTTTATTCAGAGAAATATCCCAACAAATTACTGAAACGTGTTATAATGAAGAAAGCTTTTCCATTACGACTAAAAGTTTAAATATGAACAAACTAAATAAAATATTCTATTAAAATATAAAATGAGTAATGGAAAAGAAATTTTAACTACATAATTTTAAATAAGGGTAAGTACCTATTTATTATTGTTTATTAAATATAACATTTTACGAACGAAGTTTTAATAAACAATTTTTAATAACATAAAAATTACGCGTGTAACGTGTAATAACAGGAATCCGGATGGATATTACTCGAAAAATAAATTATGCACCATCAGGTAGAGCAAATTGTACAATTGCAATTAATTTCGTGAATATAAATTCCCGAATTCGATGTTATTGCAATTGGAAGCGATTCATAATGGTGCCATGCGATTGTATCGTCTAAATTATGTATATTGAGAATGTAAACTTAGTAATATTGAATTTATAGTTGAATCAATTTGTGTAAATAATGGTTATTGTTTAATAAATAATATTTCGAGAAAAATTATTTATCTCGTTTAAAAAATCAATTTTTTAAATCCAATAAATTTACTTAGATTGTTATGTTTAGTGCTACTTTTTTATGGATGTCGCAATATTTAGAAGAGAGGACAGTTTTCATCATTTTAGCATCCATTTGTGAGCCATTGAGCCTTGAGCTGCTGCATAGCTTTCCCTCGGATGGCCGCAATCTGCGTCACTGTCTCTTTCCATGTTGTTCTAGGTCTCCCCATGGCTCGCCTGCCCTGTGCTCTCGCTTCCATGTATATCCGTGGTTTCCTCTCCTATCCCATTGGCCAAACCAAGACAGCTTCAAAAATCCTCCAAGAATCATCCTCGACCGACTGCATATTAAGGTATTCTCGAATATGACTGTTCCATACTGTGTCTTTCCTATAACTCTCCAGATGCATTTCATTTGGACTGCATTAACCCTAGTGACTGACCTGGGTGAGAAGTAGAGTATACTTGTTGATGTGTTTCAAAATTTTTTTGAATTGATTCAAAATTATACTTCTCAAATAATGAAACATATGATCCTAAAACTCATACAAACAATCACACAATGGAAGGTATTGATCGCCTTGATCAACACTTAGCTGTTCAACACCAAGAAAATAGGGTAAGAAGTATTACAAAATGATTTTCCATTTTTTAGATTTAGCATCATCGGACTCATTTGTAATCTACCAAAAATGTGGAGGAAAGAAAACGCCACTGGAATATAGGACAGATGTACTTCTGCATCCCTAACCAAGGTGGATTGACCTTGCAACGTTCTTTTTCCCCAAAGTGAAGAAGTTGTGTAAAGAAAATTAAACGGAAATCGCGATACCATTGCCTGGACTGCCATATTTGTCTATGTGATACGACTGTTGTTTGGATTCTAGCGTAACATGACAAACCCAAGTTTCATCACCGGTCACAATTTTGCTTAAGAATTCATCTCCTTCACGATTACATGGAGTAAGAAATGTCGAAGCACTTCCAAGCCGCTTCGTTTTGTGAACATCCTTGAGCATTTTTGGAACCCAACGGAAACACAATTTCCGATAATTTAATCGTTTTGTGACAATCTCATGCAATAAAGTGGATCAAAACGGTACTTATTTTACAGACACACCTCGTATAAAAGATTGAATTAAAGTTTTTAGTGTACTGATACTACCTTTTCTTGATTTTTGATACGTCTCAACGAGTTTTAGATCACAATAATATCTATAATGGATAATGGAATTCATGATATACACAGGTAAGTGTGTTTTAAAAATCATTTCCTTTTCTCATTTTTTGAGACATTTTTTTCAATTACAGAACCAAGAAATATATTACAAGAGAAGTTCAAAGATCTGGTACATCTGAGTCAACCATCCACCTGAATATGCTAGGTCATTTTTTAAACGTTTACCTCATACCCTACAAAGAAAAAAGTAAACAGGACATTTCCTTAAAAAAAGAATAAGAACCACTTTCATCATATGTGACATTCCGCGTTCTTTCAGTATTTATAATATTTTTTCATTTAATAAAGCAAATTCTTATAAATGTTGGAATTTTTAAAAAAATATTTTATTTAAAAATGTATCAAATATAATCATCAAACTGGTATATGTATAAGTAAGCATAATAAGATTCCATAAAAATAAGTCGTGATAGAAGCAGTAAAATTCACCTCGATGAGAATTAGCTTAAATCACAAGATAAAATTTGACACAATTACTACTTTTTTAAAACTACAATACCGATTATACTGCAATTATGTGTATAACTGAAAAACGATTATGTAGCGTTCTAGTTGTTACGGAACTTGCTTATTCAGTTAGTGTGTTGGCTATTAACGTATTTATTTCGCTTCAAGAATCGCCATCATACACCGACGAATCCAAACGGAGTAATTTCTCATAAATATTCAAGCAACCACCGCGACAGTTAACAATACCAAAGGAAATTGACGCATTATTGTCAGACATTGTTACGGAGTTGCGCTAGACTTCAACTGTTGCAGACCTTGGTCGTAGTTTCTAGACATATTCAGACACGACAATAAGTAGCGGTGCAGTTTATGCAATCGCAAAACGGTGAACTGCAAACTCAATTTACGTTTTATCAACGTCAACCATACTCGAACGTAATTCTCCTTTTCATCATTTGCATTTGATTATATCATACATTTTAAATGGAAAAGCTCGTAGATTTTTTTTGAAATAAAAGTTTTATCAAATAAACTCATTAATATCTATATGAATAAATAATAATCCTAAAAGTTTTATGAGTACATAAACTAACGTCAATGTATGCATTCGTCATTTCTATGCACATATTTATCGAATGATCTTTGGAGGATAATGAAATTCAGAGGTCGTCTGAAGGTGTTTGTCGTACATGTCACGTACTCCAAGCGAATATCGAACGCTACCCCCGTAAAAATAATGATAATATTCGATGTTCTAGTCGAACTCGATCCGAGTAATGAACATAACATCTTTTATGTCGTATCGTGGAACATTTTGCAATATCAACATTGCTGAAATTATTTCGGTTTTCTTATAATAAAGCAATATGGTAATGTAACCGTATTGTTATACATAAAATGAACCTAAAAAGAAAACTCTATGGAAAGATGGATTAGCAACTGAATGACCTCCTCCATCACCAAGCTTGACAACACACTATTTTTCCCACCAGAGTTTTCAATATGCACAAAAAAAACAAGAATAAATGTATTCAAAATATTTGTATATAATGATCAATATAAAAGTCTAAAAATTTAATGCTTAAGTAATTTGCTTTTCAATAAGAAAGTACTTATAGGTTGTAAAAGCTTTCTGAAAAAAGCTCCTTTTCTTTAAAATAAAGTTAGGTATTCAGGTCTTTGTCAAGGTATGATTTATCGGATATTCGATAGCTTTATCAGGTTGGATACTGGATGGACCAAAAAAAAGGTTGAGCAGGTGGAATATGTGAGGAATGCACGAAGTTAAACTATCTGTAGGTGGGTGGGTAACTGGTTCCTTGTACGTGACCTGAGCCACGTGACTGGATGCTGGAAACGTGGGATAAGGTTGCCAAGTCGAACGGTTTATTCGCCCGGAGGGATCCGCTAATCAAAGGGGTGCGACGAATCGGAACGTTCTAAAGGTTTAGAGCATATTAAATTTGGTAATTTCAAAGGAGTTCGTTCCGCTGTCAATCGCACATTCACGCGCGAACCTGAAACCGCTTTCCTTCGAATACTCCGCCATCTCGCTCTCCTTATTCCCAGTTTACGTAAAATAAAGCCATCTTTCTTAACCGCCCCTTTTCAAACCTTTTCGAGGTGAAACGATTAAGTCTAGAATAATTTATAGAAAAGCTTTTGTTGAAGGATTAAAGAAGGGACAAAAATATGCAACACAAAATAAAATATCCATAATTCTCACTATTAAGTTAGTCTAACACTATTAGTTGATCACTTTGATGACGTAAACAGAGAAGTACTGCAAATAAATTCTACACATTCCTTCTATTTATTATACTAGTCTGTGTCTTCACAGCGTCGCAGAAACGAAGCCCTTATTATTTCAAATATCGATTTTGCGAAATAGTTTCAAAGGTATTTTCTATAAGCTGCCACAAGTCACAAGAGATTTTAAAAATTCGCAATTGCAAAAATCAAGTAGATTTAAATTGTGGAGTTTGGACCGAACCTCATTCATTTAGGAATTTTTATTGGATAATTACAAAATGGGTAGGAATTTTACCATGTATGTAACAATAAGTTAAAGTTGCTACTTAATAAATTAATTGCTGTTAATTATCACGTCTATTTTAATTTATTTTGCAAAGGACTTCGATTAGTATCTCATTGTTCACGGTTCGAAAATGTAGTTCAATTCGCTAATGACACGATTCAAGTTTTTTGCTGTAAAATGAAAAACGCAAATCGAATTTTGCAAAGCATCGGTACATTACTACAAATTAAATCCCTTCAAAAGGACGGGCGTTCGATGTGCGTACCAACAAAGCCGCGTTCCGGACACGTTGCGGACTTTTAAAAGCGATTTTTCAACCATAGAGAACATCACCCCTCATTGACACTACGAAAAAAAATTCTACCAAAGTATGAATTCCAAAACCCTACATGTATAGATATACTGATGTGGGGATGTGTTGATGTGTAGATATGTGGATGTATCGATGTGGTGATATGTACATACCACAACAACTTTTTTTGTTCCTCACATAGTTTTCTGAGCATTATTAACGTAATTAAAACAAGGTTCAAAATACCATGTTCAACAGCGATATAAACTACACTTCTTAATCTAGACGTTACTAGTTCGCTTCGCGTGCTACTTCATATATTTTCATATTTCCACCACCTGAGAGTCGACGGTGGCTACAAATAACCGCCGATAGCTGGCGTAATTTTGATTTATCGCCCGACTGTGCGTATAGAAACCGCACACGTTGCCTAGAGAAA